CATGTCCAACATGCAGATTGTCATTAACATTAGGTCATAATCAAAATATGCCGATGAATTCAACAAATAATGGTGGACAAGAGACATTGGGCACTCATACTCACATTCCTCATCATTTTTTCCACTTCGATGGTAAAATACAATTGTTTGAATTTCATACAGTTAAATTAAATGATTTAGATATTAATAATTTTTTTTTTGGAATATCTTAATTTAAMAAATTTTAGATTTATTCTATACTAATGAAACACTATTTTAATTACGAATAAATTTTAAAACCTTAACCATATAAACTGAATATGTAGTAATATAACTATTGATTACAAGTTCCAAAAAATAAATAACATTTTTAATGATATTTTGACTAAAAAATACCAAAAAAWTATTTTTGATTAATTCTATACTTATAGGGTCTAGATATTTATCATGGTTACCAAGTTTTTCTGTTGAAGTAACTCATTCTTTAAGACCTACAAGTCAAATACACACTTCACAAATGGAAACAATGGCTCGACAAGTAAGATTTGTTCATAAATAAAATGTATAAGTATTATAATCGATCTATTTTTTTTTTTTTTTATTAGGTTCTACAATTATTTCCACACTTTAACATGCATTCGATCATTGAAGATTTGTCAACTACCCGTTCTGTCGATTTAACTATTGATAACATATTAGAAGGTAGACTGGTGGCACCTCAACAATTTATTGAAGAGGAACCTGTTGTTGTCGAAACTACACCAATTGTTAACAGCGTTGAACAATTCATCAATACATCTACACCTACTAGGTAAATTAATTTTGCAAAATATTAACTATTGTAGGTAATGCATTGATCAAGTCAAACAAATTGTTTATAATATGTATAYCTAAGATATTCTTTAGTGTATATCTTGGTGTTAAAAAAAAAAACACATTGAACATTATATTATGTTTATATTTTGTTTTAGTTTTAACACTAATATTAGTGAACCTGCAATTGATGGACTTGTAAGTACGGGCAGCCAGTTTTCTAAGTCACCCGATGAAAGAGAAAATATGCTAAGAGCTCGAAAACAGGCAATGATTATGAAGGCCAGACAGAGGTACATGAGCAAAGATGGAGATAGTTCATCAAAAACTGACTAATTATGGCATTGTAAAAGCACAGGCATGCACACACTCACACAAAATAAAGCTAAGACTGTGATTAAAACCCATTATTTGATTTAAATTTAAGGATATAATATMAATTATTGCATTTGTATAAAATAATACATATAAAGTTCAAGATCTAGATGTCCAATTCAAAAATCCAAAACAATTATTTGTCCTCAAAAGTATGTCTAAAATGATAAAACTATAAAAAAAAATCATATCTAGACAATTAAACATTGTTGTTGTTGGTTATCCTACCTCAAAATGTATGACAACTTTACTCTTAATGTTCACGAGGTGTCCTATATGTTTGAAAAATATTTTATCATCATTAAATGTTTGGGTTTTGTACATATTTCCTGGATTTTGAGATATTTTTTGTAATTTTATAACCTTTCTATAAACTAGAACTAAGTTATACATACATCTTGATTTAAAACCCCTTCTTTCAGTAGATCCCCTATATAATGCATAACTAACAGAAGATGTTTATTGACAAGATTAATATTTTGATTTATTTAATTATAAAATTTAATTCATGTGGACATTTTTGGTATTTGAATTTGCTGTAGTTAAATATTTGTCCATTAATTTACATATAGTTATGCTTTTAACCTATAACTAAATTTATAGGCTATACTGAATAAATATAAATATGTAATGATTGGTTTTCTGGCTCTGACATTAAGAATGTAATATGTAACAATATTTAGCAATTTGTTGAAAGCATTATTCTATGCTGACTATATTTGCATGCTATTTCAATCTGGATTAAAGTTCTAACTGAGATTATTTTAAAAAACAAATATTTTCAAAGGGTTAAAATATTGCTGAACTATTGTAAAATTTATTATTATTGCATTTATCATTTTAAAATTATAACATTAATTATATTAATTTATGTAAAAATGTTATAAAACACATTGTAAAATTGCTCAGTGTAGTTTATAGTTTYAACAGAATTGTTGTTGAAATGGATAAAGAAATATGTTTAACTTCATGGGCCAATTATATATGTAAAATACATCATGTATGGTTTTGCACTGTTTTAACTTTTAACAATTTACCAATACTATTTCAAGTTTGAGTGATTTTTCTATAAAATGTAGTAGTTAATGTTACCAATAATTAGACTTTGTCTCACAAATTTGTATTATATATACCTACAGTGTAGTAAAGTATTCTGAGTAATTGTTATATTTTTTGATTGGAATATTTGTCAGAATGTTTAAACGGTACAATAGTAAGACATGATTTCACAATTCGATAATTTAGAAAAAACATTTTCAAAAATATACTTTGACAAGTGCCATAAAATATTGGGGACTTGTTGTTTATATTAGAAAAATTATATTTTGACCAAGCTAATCAGAAAGAAAAATTTATAATATTATGTATATTTTTAACAGTCATAAATGATCTTTAAATAAAAGGCTCAGGATTAAAGTAAACTTATTTTACCAAAAAAATAATTGTGATGATGCTAACTTTTTTAGAATATTTATACTTCACAAATAAATTTTTGTAACATGGTATAAATATGAGCCTTTTTTCATCTTCTTAATATATCCATACATTTATAACACACACACATATAAATATATTTATTTTTATTGATTATTTATAATTAAATGGAATGTATTATATTACAAAGCCAATACCTGTCATGATCTAAACAAATGTAACTTATATTTAAAACATATATTTTTTGTGATAAAACTATGTTAGAAGACTTCTTTGCACTTCTTATCRCCTCTACATTTCAATAAATTTATTACCTTAAATATTTTATGTACTTAAGTAATTATATAATTGTATGTATATTGACAGAATTGTGTTAACATTCAGATCCTAGTCAAATTGTAAGTCCTATAGCATAAGTTTAAATATTTTAGTTAATAGATAAATAGTATAGTTTTTAGTATTTAATAAATTTAAATAAGTTAAAAATGTAAAAATTATATTTAAACTATTATTTTTGATGGAGAATAAAAATAAGCATAAATACGTGTATAATTATAAATTATATTTATTTAATCCTTTATTTACAGAAAATATGTTTAGAAAAAAAAAATGAAGCAGTACAATGCATTATAAATTTGAACCTCAATGCTGAATTTAACCTATAAAGTTTACAATAGTTAAGTGAAGCACGATATGTGCAAAAATAAAATCAGCAAAACCTCGTTCTGGACTTATGTCACTAAATTGTGCTTTGTTTTGTGGATTTGCTTGTAATCGTAAACATACTGAAACAAAAATAATATTAAAACAATTAGAAAAATTAATTTACAAAGGAAAATATGATCAAAGAAAATTTAGTTTATTAGAACATTACTACAGTAGGGTCTCGATAATCTGAATGGGCTTGAGAATTACCTAATTGCMWTAATATGTATGTATTTATAAATATTTTCCGGTAATAACATCTTTAAATTGTGTGGGACAAGGCATACCAAAACATAATAGGAACCAGTGTACAAAAAAAGTAAATCAATATTCTAAATAGTCAAGTTCATAATTATACTCATAATATTATATTAATATTTTTATATATTCATTGTCTTTTGAAATTACAAGTTTTTACACGATTATACAAATAAAAATACAATTTCATGRTTTAAATTACAATAAAATTGATGTTTTTTTTCAAGCCATAAATAATCCGAACAAATAACTAATCTGAAAAACCTCTTTCCCCAATCTCGTTCGGATTATTGTGACCCTACTGTATATTGATTAAAAAAAAATATAAYATATTAAACAAACTTTGTAGACAATTATAATTTWAATATATTTTGAAATAAATAACTTATACTAGAAAATTCATTTAATACAGAGCACTCATTAAGTATTAAGGCGGGGTCAAACAGAGAGCGGAATGTCTGACAAGTATGCAGACTGCGGCGGGCAGCGATCCGGTTGTATTATTTTACAGACTGTGCGGGCAGCCTGCTTTATGTTTGAATGTGTTTTTAATGTTTTAAAAGAAAATTAATATTTGATATAGTTCATAGTCATTACAAGAAGAGGAAACACATCTCCYTACATTTGATGGTGATTTAAAACATGGTGTCCTCTCTAAAAATGTGGTATTAGTTGTGACTTTAATTTTAAATAAAATTCAAATTTGAACATTATCCAGTGTTTAACATGAGATGAGTATTCCTATAATACAATCATTGTTTATACATTACATAATATACATTARACTTTATACATAAAATTATGTGTGGAAGTTAAAACTATGCTTTGCTCAAGTTAAGAAACCTAGAAGGTTATGCCAGTTTTTGTTGGACTGCAGTCAAGCAACACTTTTTTTTCAACTCCCCCACCCCCTGACAATAAACTGCATACATGCCGTGTAGTATTGCCAAGCCTGTGCACAAGTCGGCTCACAATTACGTTCCTTAAGTAAACGAGAGTATATATGAAGACAATTTGAAATTTTTCTCACTTTGAGCTCTGATTACGAAACAAGATTTTAAAATATTTTTCAGAATACTTCGATACATAGAAATCAAATTTAGGATGGGTAGTTTATGAGTTTCAAGCATTTAAAGTTAAGATAAATTAAATAGTGAATTCACATTTTTTGGGGTAACCATAAATTGATCATTATATATAACTATTAAATTAGGAATAATGCCTAATAATTTAATCATTAAAAACTGTTATTTTGCTATGTATTGTAACTATCTAAATTTTTCATCAATAAACAATARMAGCAGAGGAGTAATATTGTGCAAAYAGAYCCTCCTCTGCTGTCGGTTTTAACAAGAAAAAAAATCATTAAAAATACATTTTGTCTTTTTAAAATAAAGTTTCAAAATATGGTTTTTATAACACACATGCATTTTGTTAGAATTAAATAATTTTTAGACTTAGATCACTAATCACAAATCATACTAAAACAATTAAAAAACTTATTAAAAGTAAATATGTTGAAACTTGTAGAGTTACACAAAGAATTACAGGATAGTTTTTGAGAGATATGTYTAGTAACCGAAACAACTGATTAACATCAACATATTAAACTTGTACTGTTGTACTGTAAATGTGTAACTGTAACCATAATTAGAAAATCATAGTCAAAAAATAAATAAGTCGTGTGGGAATTACCTAGGTAAGAGTAGTTATTACTTACCGCCAAGTACAAAACAGCTAACTGATGAAATAAAACCACTGAGGAACGAGTTAAATGGGAATGTGCCTACTAAACAACAGTATGMAAATTGTACGATTCCAGTTAGCATTATGTACAACAAATAAGCATCGATTATCTTAAGTTTTTTCGATGTCGTTTTCGCGTAATCGTCGTAAAACTTTGAAACAATTTCTAAGATTTTAGCCATTTTCAGAAACTATTGTACTTTTTTCTCCAACTGAAACACTAGTAGTTGGTTGATAATGAATTGTTGTCGAATATTAGACGAATAATATAGGATGAAAATCAACAAAAATAATAAATAATTAACATAAAACAACCAAATAAAAGCTTAGCGAGTTGTGGCAAAATTGTGTACTAGAGAGTATAGACCATAGTATTGTATTCCTTATGACTTAAATGAGTARTAATCATCTACGTGGTCGTAACGTTATCACTAAAAAATCGAAGTAATCAAAGACGAGCACGTGTTATCAACAACAAACTCGCCGGCTCATGGACGAAACCGCGTACATAATATTATTTATTTGTGACGATCGAGAACCGCCAAGGCGCCAAACGGCCAAACTACACAAATTGTACACTATAATGACCTGTCCTAATAGGCACGAGGTTCCGAGAATACAAATTGAATTTCAGTTACGTGAAAACGAGATACCCACGAGTTGCTGTTATTATTTRTTTAGTCTTTTCGAACTTTCGATGTCTTTCTAAATTCACACGCTCTACCTCTGCAGTTTCTAACGCAATTTTAAAATGTATCACATCGAGTAAAAACTACCTATTACAGAATAAGACAATACAACTATATAAGGTTTATTTGAATATGTGATGTTAAGACTCGTCACTTTGAAAATAGGCCTCCATGGGCTCCATGACGTGCAAAAGTTAATAAATCACACCAGAATAAAATAACAAATAAAAAGCCTCCTGAACCGCGTTGCCATGTTAATAACGACATTGATTTAACACAAAAATTGGATGCATATGCATATAGAACTGTAAAGTTACAAAACGATATTATGTCACAGTCGCTGACATATTTTTGCCGTACCCTTCTCGTCGATATCATGCAAATCGAAATGTACCGTAAGGCTTGCAAGGGGAGCTCGGTATTGTTATTAAGTAATGTACAATAATATCTATACCGTCAAGTACTTGAAGTACTGATATATATTATATATATCCTCTTGGTGCAGAGAAGATATTCAAATACTTTGATGAAACCTATGTGAATTGTGAATGGAACYATAGGTACGCTGAGTTAACGAACAAAATGTATTAAGTTTGACCGTTAGACGTTTTTCAGTGATATTTCCTCCGGAAACTTGGAATGTTTTTTAAACGATTCTACAAAATAATCACTATACTGTCTGTACTAATCACAGATATATACAAAAATTATTGTATATATCTGTGGTACTAATACTGTTTGTGAGTCGTGGAATAATTGATTTTATCATTTTTAGTCGGAGGTAAACACCCATCAATTTGGATATTAATTAATAAAATAAAAAATGAAATGTCGGCAGATCGTGCAAAACTTGCTCTGCAGAATATAGGCAAGAGTCCCAAACAAAATGTTTGAAATCGAAAACCGCTAAAAAGAGATTAAGAATTTTATGTGAACGGTTAAATTCAAATGAAACATGTTTGAAAAAAATATCCTTCAATTTAAGAAAACGACTATGGGTGTTTATATTACTGTATATGACAAAAAATATTGTGAAATGTCTGAAATTAATTTTTTTATTTCATATTTWTATATATATGTACTTATATCTATTTTTTTAAATATTATTTCCATTTTATTAAATATGACTTCAATTTATTACAAAACTTAATCTTACATTTATACTGATATATATTTATAAATTAATATAATCTCTAATTAAGTATGGAAAATGTTGGTATTTTCCATTTTGTAAATATAATATGATATGCATTCATAATTTTTTATTAAGGGTTATTTTTTCCGGTGTTATTTTTTCGCGGTACCGGTTATATGGGGCAGGGGGTTATATAACATTATTATTTTTAGAATATAGATAGGACTAGGACCCACAGCTGGAAGGTTTCAAAATATTCATAATATATTGAAATTGAAATTATATTTAAACGATTTTTAAATTTAATTTCTACTTTATTTCTACTATTTTAAGTAAATATAGTATCACATAGACATGTGCTAATGCTAATACCTATACTATACAGTACTCCTTATTTAGAAGTTTAGAACTTATACCTACTATACAAGCTATTGTATGTATATGTATATTTAATATTTATGTTATATACTTACCAAAATATCAGTATATGACAATTTCGGCGTGGACATACAATACATACATTTAAGTTAACTCATAAGAAAAAAAAAATTAACTCAAGCAAACAAAATACTATAGACTATAATATGCAAATCTATAATAATAGGTATCAATTTACCATTGTATCAATTATTACAAGTGTGATTGTACGAATAAAATAATAAATCAAAAACATTGCATTTCATAAAAATAAGGAATTGCATACGATTTTTTAATGCTCAATAAAACTTTCTAATGGTAAATCGATTGATCTACAATTTTTTCCTACTTTATGAAAACTTTGGAGTAACTATTGAATTCTCAAATGTCATCGCAACAATGAAAACAAATGACTTCTATAACTATTATTATTATATATTATTTTATAGTCTTAATGTTATTTATAACGATGATTTTTAAAAAGTTTTTTTAACTTTTAAGTTGTATAATATACTGTATATTGTACATAATATTATAATGTGTTAAATTTATTTATGGTTAAAATTTTTATTAGACCTAGTGAATTGTAGATATAGTTAAAATTTAGTACTTACTATCTTCTATTGAGAGTTTGTTTTGATTCTATATTTCTTTTKAAATTTGTCATATCATATGTTTTATAGTATATTCTTGAATTTATCGAAGTTTTGGATAATTCAGGCTTTGAGATATTCAAACAGTATACAATGTTCGTTGGAACTTGGAAATTAATATTCGAAATCTAATACATCAAATTCAAATATTTTGAACAGTTCAACTTCGACATATTATAATATAATGGCATTTTAATAAATATATTTTTATACAACATAATGTATAGGAGTAGGTTAGTAGGGATACCGCCTATAACGGTTATAAGTTTATAACCCTATAGAATAATATAGTAGGTACATTTTTATTTTCTATACTCCTTATAAGGCCCCAATTAGTTTTTATGAATTTACAATTGGTTTATTATTAAATATTAATCTGAAAGTTGAAAATGTTTGATAAGTTCCAAAATGTTCAAGTAAAAATTAATTAAAATTTGAGTTCGATCTCGAACGGTTAAAGATAAAAACAATAATCGATGCCAATTTCGTCAAAATGAAAGTTCGATGACTATGGTTCATCCCATTCYTAATATGTATTTAAGTTTTGAATGTTAAATGAAATAAATTTAAAATAAATAATTTTATAGTGTAACCTGTGATGATAGACAATATGTTTGAACATTTTTTATATAGGAAAACTTGGGTAGGCCGTTGGCCAAGTTTTTACAGTAAATAAATCTTTTAGTCTACGACTATAGTACGCATATACAGGGTGATTCTTTTATCAAACACTCATTATTTAAAAAAGTATTTAATTTTTTCAAAATATTTTTTTACATGGTTTAAAGTTATTAAAAAACCAACATTTTTATTACAACATTATATTTTTAAATATTTTTTAAGTTTTTTACTTTTTTGAATGACAACATAGAGTTTTAATTTCATATTCCAAAGCGGAATATTTTTCTGAGTATTTTGATTCATAAAAATTGAATTTAGCGCTAGTAGTTTATGATTTATGAATTATAATAGATATTCAAAGTTTAGATTGGCAGAGTGGAGTGGTATGAGGTTACCCCGCAAAATGTTTGTCCACTACTCTGCTTGTCCAAACTTAAATTACCTACTTATAATTTATCAGTCATAAACTACTCGTCCTAAATTCGATTTTTATGAATCAAAATACTTAGAAAAATGTTCTGCTTTGGAATATGAAATTAAAACTCTGTTGTCATTCAAAAAAGTAAAAACTTAAAAAGTGATTAGGATAAAAAAATATTTAATGATATAATTTTTTAGGAAAAACGTTGGTTTTTTAACAACTTGAAACTATGTAAAAAAATATTTTTTAGATACTTTTTAAATAATGAATGTTGTTACAACTTACAAGTACAACATACGAAAGTTTTGAATTTTAGAATACAATAAGTAAATGTAATCCTCAACACCATAATATACATTTTCTAGAGATTTTTGGAATTTGATGTTGGCTCAACTGATATCCAAATACTCGAATTCCTGTTATCATATTTCGGCATGAAGTTTACCATATTCTGGAGTTGGCTGTTGTGGTTGTGTTTGTTCTTGTTGACCGGTTTTTTAGGTGAGGTGTCCTTCGCGATCAGCAATTTACCTGGTAACTGGTATCAATTCACAATTGCGCTACCACAAAAAGAAAAAATATTCATCGGCAGCCGTCGTTGTGGCCGAGATCCTTCATCACGGTCTCCATCATAATTCGTTACTCGGTGAGTGGGAAAATTCCAATTTTTCATTTAATTTTTTTTTTATTATTATTCGGTAACTAATATCGTCTTGCTCGTGCGCTTCGATTGGGAATTGGGGACRTTCAGACGTTCAGTGCTCAGTCACGACTCACTTGCGTCTGTTAGCTGTCACATAGTTTRTGTTATCACTTTTGCTTTTCGCGTCAGTCGTAATCACTCTATCACTCACTCAACACACTGGTCACTGACTCAGTTTAAGTTTAACTGCGGCTGCAGCACTTCGAGCGTTCGAGCACACGGACAATAATTTAGAAATCAACACTKATCAAACGATAAATAAATTACCCTACGAGACTGGACAACTGCATTCGACGGGGTCGTCGTTTCAGCAGGTAAGTGTTCAACGTTCCGATATCGTCTTCGTCTCCAATCGCCAACCCCGCTATCCGCTATCGTCTTTCTGAAAAGGCGTTAATCAACAACCATCAATCTACGGTATCTACTCGATTGTTTTAACGGAAACATCTCCTTATATAGCAATTGGGCACGGTTAGTGTACCTCCCCGCGGGCGCCCGATGACGTGACCTTATTCGTATCCGCRTTTGCTTCACTCCATACGTACGTCACGATACCCTACCCGTTCTCCCACGTAATCTTGGTGGGGATGGTGCAGTCGCCCTCCGTATTCCCTTGCGAACCGTAAAGGTCATAATTTTTCATTAGAAATTAAATCTCATCGAGTATCCCCATGTCCCATGAGGCCATAAAGTCGTTCCCCAGAAGTCCTGACCAGACTTCAAACGTGTGATGTTTTCCAGTGGGTACCGCGGACCCTTACATTTTCAACTCGGACGGCACCGTGGTCGATGACGACATAAAAATCCTAATTGGTTGCCGATGYGCAACGGTCGATTTCCTATCGTTTCGGGCTCAAAACGGTTTGTCGAACGTGAAACGGCCGAAAATAGTCATCGCGCGTGTGCGTGTCGACACCAATTCAAACACTTTCTAGTTACCAATTTTCCAACGTTCGATTTTTCGCCGTTAAACGTTTGCCGCCCGTCGTACTGGTGATTGTCGCGCGTTGTCTCAGCACGCCCAACTATTCGGAGACGTTCCTATTTTTATTGTTACCATWAGTTATTATCATTATTTGTTTCATAATTATCAATATTATCATCATCAATTCGTCATCGCTTTCGTTGGCGCCGTTACGATATAGATTATAGGTAGACAAACCGCTATAACCTTAAATCTATTGGATGCCGTTTTTCAAGGTTTTTCCGATCTGTTTGTTACCCGCAATTCAACATTACCTCCTAATCGGCCGATTGTTTCACTCAATAGTGCATATATGGTAATATTTCGTTTTGTCGTCAACGGATTTATTTTTAACGCTGACGGTCGTCATCATTTGTCACCATATTTTGTATTCGATATTATTAAATTAAATACGTTATCACGTTCGKTAATTGCTCGTTTTACATAGTTCCAGTATCCAATTAGCGCAAGTAACCATACATTTTCATCAATTTAAAATCCTTAATACATACATATCGTATTTTATTTGAAATCATAATAATTAATCTAGATTTAGAGTAAAAATAAATAGCGTGTACTTACTGTTAGTGCCATTATTTAATATCATTATTTAATTATTTATGAAAGTTTCTATAAGTACTTTCCTAGTAGTTGCTCAGTAAAAAACTGTTTTTGCATCTTAGAGTTATTTTTGGATAATAAACGACGAGGAATCAATGTTGTATTTAATATTTATTTATTGTTGATTTTAGAAATTAAAATAATAATTTTTTTTTGCCTACTTAAATTAGATTAATTGAATAATAAAATTGTTGCTGAAAAAATATCTCATCAAATTAAGTACATAAGGAAAATATTTTGTTTATATACCTTACCTTAATATTTGTATTTGTATAATAAGGCTATAAATTATCCAACAATATGTTTCAATCTTAAATAAAAAAAAAAAATTAAAATTATAAGTGGGAGTTGTTTTTTAAGAATAACAGTATGTAGGKACTTAATAGGCAATTAAGAAATTGATTATTATGAGAATCATCTTGGATCTCCTACTTAACTAGTTTAAACCACTTAATATTTTTATAGCAGTTAATTTAAATATTAATATAGAATCATTGTTTTCTATGTGTATCGATGAATATAAAAGAAKTAGTAGTTCACCATATTAAACTTTTTTTACTAATTAAGTACTTTTTATATATTAGGAATGTTCAAGCTATATTACTGTAATATTGATTATTATAAAAATATGTTATATTATTTTAGAATCTCAATCAAATATGGCTATAAATGTATATTCAACTAACGTGACATCTGATAACCTCAGTCGTCATGACATGTTAGCATGGGTAAATGATACTTTGTCTGCAAGTTTTACGAAAATAGAAGAACTATGTTCTGGCGCAGCTTACTGTCAATTTATGGATATGTTATTTCCTGGTGAGTGATCATAATTACTAAACTATAAATTGAATAGTTTTTTTTTTATTGATCTATTTTTTTACAATCTGGCTTCGTAAGCCATTAGTTACAGCTTCTTCTTTTTTTTTTTGTAGATATTGAATAGTTTATAATGTATTAAAATTGTAAACAATTATATTACAAGGTATATTAAATAATAGTGGAGAATAACCTAAATGCACCATTTCACATCCGCCTATATTTATATGCTCTACCAATTAAATGTTTAACGACCCTATTTATTGGTCAATTCAATCAGCCAACTTGGATTACCCATCTGTAAAATAAGAATAAATGGTATATTATGATTCATAAGATTATGTGTACATCTGTAAATAAAACWAAAATTTATGTTAACTTCATATATTTATTAAAAACATACATTTCGTATAAAAATTAATTATATTCATAATATTTGAAAATCATAAATTAAAATAATGACTGATAATAAGAATAATTTCATATTACTTATCCACTGTAGCTTTGAGGGCAATATATGCATACAATTTGGWTTTTATGGCTTATTTCGTCAAATCCTAACACATTAAACAGTTAATATACAAAATAAATATTTTCATTATCTTGTAATTTTTATATTAACACTATCTTATGAACAAATTTTTAAGCAAAACAATATTGGTTAGATTTTGTTTTAATATTTGGTGTATTAGTTATTGTAAAAATTTTAAATCCATAATTGTTGTGATTGAATAATTTTATTAACTTGAATATACCTTATATAAATCCATTAATTTAAGTATTGAAYAAAAGTTTTAAAGTATTAAAAATATTTTTGAGTAACTTTTTTGTTTGATAAAACAATGTCATAAAATTTTTATTTTAACTTTTTTAATGTATAAAAAATATTGTGGGCAAATAAACATTTTTTAAATATTTTAATAATTTATTACAATATTGAAAATATTGTTAATCAGAAAAATTATTTTCTTCTATCACATATTTTTACTGATTTTTACTTTATAATTGATTTAAAATAAATTGAAAATRAAAAGACTGGTTCTCTCATTTTTTTATATGCTATAATATAAATTTGACCTTCATAAATCATCATAAACATGTCTTAACAATAAACTTAGAGTTGATAATTATTGTAGGTCCTTTTTTATATCCCGTTTTATATCTAGTTATTTATTAAAATCGTGATTTAGTACTAAAATTCATTATACATTTATGAGTAACTAAGWCTATAATAGGCTTATAAACCTCTAATCTCTAAAGTTTATATTATTGTTTCCAAAAAAAATTCATGATACATAATCACACAAAATAGTGTATGATCCCACATTATATAAACTTTTTATAAAAATGTTTCATCATTGTTTATTCACTATTATTGATTTTATAGGTAGTGTCCAAATGAAACGAGTCAAGTTTAGAACAAATCTTGAACATGAATATATACAAAATTTTAAAATACTCCAAGGGGCATTTAAAAAAATGGCAGTTGATAAGGTATGTTGAAACTTAAATTAAAATTTTACAATGTATAGGCAATAACAAAATTAATTTTTAACTATTTAATTTACTAAGAAGTCATCATTTTACTAAAAAGGTTAGATGAAATGTAGGTAGAATCAATAATGTTTATTCTATTAACTATCAATTTTCATTATTTTATAATATACTGTGTAACAGTTATAATACCTTGGGTGTTGTGTTATGGGTTTTGTATTTACCCACAATTGGGATGGAAAAAAAATTACTTTACAGGTGATACCTGTTGATCGCTTAATCAAAGGACGTTTCCAAGACAATTTCGAATTTTTACAATGGTTCAAAAAGTTCTTTGATGCTAATTATGATGGACGTGATTATGATGGCCTTGATGCTCGTGGTGGTGTTATGATTGGTTCTGGTGCAGCAGAAGTGTGTGGTTTTCAAGCACCTCCACCATATCGTGTACCACAAGCTGCTCGCGCTTATAAAAGCCCGTCCTATGGACATGGTATTCATAAATGCTCAATTTTTGTGTGTTTGTTAGTCAGGATTATAAAATTAGTGAATTTCAAAATTTAGATTTAATCTTTATTTGCAAAAAGTAAAAGTTCAATATATATTTATTAAAAATATTTATTCCTGCATGTTGATATAATAATATTATATTATTTATTATCATATAATGATACTTAATAATGTTATAGACTTTATTTAGTTAATTTTTACAAAACCTCTTTTCTATGAAACAAAAGAATAATAGCAACATTGTTGAATACGGAATGTATAAATCTTTCTTCATAGTTAAGTCATATTTTAGATAGAATATTATTGGTATTTAAAGTTTTATTTTTTTTAATTAGTTGTTTTCTATTTGTAGTTTAGTTTTTTTTAAAGAATAGAATATTACATAATAGTCATAATATTATAATTAACAAAGAACTATAGGTTATGTATGGTTTACTATTTTTTTAGAATCCCATACATTTTAATGAAAATAATATCTTTTTTCATCTAAAAATCAAAGGCAAAAATATTTATATTAAAGAGGACGCTACCCAACCATTTGTTGTCTTCTTCATACAAGTGTGTAACATAACCAATTTACATTCAGCAGATCTCGTTTAGCTCTGTTAGTTAAAAATTTTTAGTTAATCAACCTACTGTGAAATATAATGGTTAGAACATTATCTGTGTTTGTACGTGGGTTTTTATGATAATTCAGTTATGAATTATGATCATTTTTATTTACACTATAATATATGAAAAACTTGCTAAAAAATTTAACTATCTTTTAAAAAATCCATACAAATGCACATAATGTTCTTACCATCAAGTTTCTTAAAAGGTCAACTCACTCAAATTTTTAAACTAATGTAGCTAAACGTGATCTGAGCATAAATTTGGTATGTTATGCATTTATAGACGGAAACAACAGATAGTTGTGTAGTATACTCTTAACGGATATATTTTATAACAACAAAAAAACTAACTAAAATTGATACTATACTCTGTTCCATGAGAGATTGTGTTGGGTCGACCTAAMTCATTTTTCTACATCTCCATGTGACATCCGGACATAAAAAAACCAGTTTTGATTGCAGGGAGATGCATAGAATCTGCATGTTCTCTCAGACCAAAGTGTAGTAAATTTTCTTTTTAAATGAAATGTTTTTCAATTATTTTTGATTTCTCRTGATTTTTTTTCCAAAATATCTTTATGGAACCTTAAGAATTATTGTTATGCTGTTTTAGATTGAATAATGAATGTATTTTAATTTTTGTTTGGTCACCAATATTCTTATCTGCTGTTAATTTCATCATTTGATTAAAATACGCTAATTATATTATTTTCTTCATGTTTATAATTTTGATATTGAATATTTGTGACAAAAGCTTAACAAGTCAAAAAGTGGTTTTTAATTTATTATTTTTATTTTTTTTAACTTCATTCATTTTGTTTTATTTTTATTTTGCAGATAGTACCTATAGATAGGCTGGTCAAGGGGCGTTTTCAGGATAATTTCGAGTTTTTGCAATGGTTCAAAAAGTTTTTTGATACCAATTACCAAATGAATGATTACGACCCAGTAGGTGCGCGCAGTGGTGAGGGAATGGGAGCAGCCGGTGCAGCAGCCAGAGCAGGTCCTGTCAAAAAACCATCTGCGGCAGTCCCGCCTAGAAATGCCACAACCCAAAATCGTTTATTCCGTCCCGCGAGTAACAGCAATAGTTCGTATTTTTGACTCGAAATTATCCCAAATTCCCAAAATGCTTTTTATGCTAGATTTTAATTTTTTTTTTTCAAATTGACTCATATTAGTTAATATTGTATTTACTATTATTTAATTTATGAAATTGTTTTTTAGTGTCTAATCGTGTTCCTTCAACTAGACCAGCAGCACCTGCCAATCTGCGTGATAGAGGCGATCATAAAATTGATGAACTTAATAGACAGGCAAGTTCAGTCTTAAAACAGTTCTATTTAATTCGAAAAAAGTATTTGTATCTAATTATTTTGATTGTAGATGAGTGAATTGAGAGTTACAGTTGATGGTTTGGAAAAAGAACGCGATTTCTATTTTGGTAAATTACGTGACATTGAGGTAATATGTCAGGAACAAGAAAGTGAACATCCATTATTTTCTAAAGTATTGGAAATTCTTTATGCCACTGAGGTATGTAAACGCTTTTTATTTTTTATCAATACTTGTTAATGCATATTAATATTGTATGATAAATAATTTTAAGTTTTCATATTGATTATCACGATCAAATCATTCTTTGGGTTTATATTATCTTATATATCTTCAATTACATAATTTATTATGAATTTTGATTTAAAATAACAGAATTACTCACTCTTAGGTTTTTAGAATCTTATTTTGGCTTCTTTTCAAGTATTTTGTTAAAGGAATTCTGCACTTAATCTTGGCTAAAAACATTTCACTGGACATTCCAAAAATATATTTAACCTTACAATGTAATTCTAATTAAAACCACCAAGACACAATACATTAAAATGTATAAGTACAATTTTCACTGTAGAATATAACTCAATGTTAACAAGTTAACATTTGTATTGAATTTGTTATGAATCAACCTAAAATTGAATGATAAATTGATTTTCTTAACTATAAATAATAAAAATTCACAACTCGCATTGTTGATCGACAGTTTTGTTATTGTCTGTGAAAAACCGGTATAGTAATTATAATCCAATCTATAATTTTATTATATTAGTGATATCTGTTGTATCATTTTTCACAATTTTCCTGAATGGCAGAAAAAAAATTTAATTCTTTTTGTAGACTTTTTGAAAAAAATAATTTTTATTTTATTTGTCTTAATAATATTTTTATTTAAAGCAACTTAACGATATTCTACTGTGATTTATAATTTTAGTTTGACAGTTAGGTAATATATAATGTATAGTTTAACTTCTATTTGATACTTAAATTAATGCTATATAACTAGGGATGGACCAATGCCACATTTTACTGATACCTGATGCTCCGATATATGCTGCCGATATTAAACTGATACCCAAAAATATATGGTAATATTAAAACATTTTTGAAAAAAAATCATGAGCCGGTACCATCAATCAATATATAATAAAACCGATATTCGATAACATAAATATTACCTAGAAAAGTGAAAGCATTGATTATTAATGATAATAAACAATTACTTAATAGATATAAGATGTTTATTTTTAATATTTACCATTTGATAACCTCAGAAGTAATAACTAGTCTAGTATCTACTGACTAGTTGTAGTACGACACTGTGACTAGAAATGGTATTGTTAAAATATATTGTATTCCAATTTCGAATTTTTAAAATATTAGTGAAATATACTATGCTGTTTGGTAGGTTTTTTTTTTTGAATTGTTTTTCTTTCAAAATCGATATCTTGTATCGGTTCTAGTAACGACCCATCCCTAATAGTAACATAATATTATAAAGACTATTTTCAATTGTTAAAAATGAGTTACAAATTTAAAAATAAAAATAACTATACTTACATATTTACTTAATTAATCAAGTAACTCAGTTATCTTTAATAATGATTAAGTTTTAAGTATTAAAATATTTAGAAAAATAATTGTTTAATTCTTAATTATGAGTTATTGTGGTTAGGTACATTCATTGCATTTAAGAAAAAATAGATTAATTAAAAAATATTTAGGTATAGTGATGACTGATGAGACTATAGTTTAGTTACATACAGACATGAACTTTAAAGTGACTTTCGGCTCATTCCTTATTGAGTAACCTAATCAATAGATTATCTAATTTTTTAACTAATTTTGTCCAAYTTATAGAAATTCATAATAAATAGTTTATAGTGTATAATTCTCTATGTTACCCATTATTTTACAATTTTTTATAATTTTTAAATAAAATATGCTTTTAAAATACAATTATTTCAAAATATGBACTTAAAGATAAAAAAAGAACTGAATATGTAATATATAAATTATCGCTTTAAACTCCAAGTATTATGAAACAAATTTCAAAATTACTTATCATGGGTTTATATGGTAGACCAGTCACACCCAGCAAACAAGAGACCTAGTCTGGTGGCTAGATTTTTGACGTTATGTTTCCTGGGAGAAGTTAACATTTAACTATGCTTTGAATGATTATTGATAAACATATAAACTCTTATAAGCCCCTAGTCTTAACAATAAATAATTAATTAATCGACTGTTCTAAAAAAAAATATCATAATTCATTGTATTTTAGGAAGGATTTGCTGCTCCAGAAGAGGTTGAAACTAACAATCATGATGATGATGAAGCTTACTAATAGAGTCTCTTATTTAATTTTTTTTACTTAATTATGATTTTTTTTTTTAATGATATTTATTATATTTTACATTACGCTATATAATAAACTGCTAAAGGCACATGTTCAAAATTGTGTACTGTTTCTTTCTAACTTTTTTTTTGTTTCTGTATTATTTATAATTATTTAAAGATGACCGTTACCATGGCTCAACCTAAATAAGCGGTCCATCATTTAAAATTTAAATATTAATTATTGTTTGTATTTATGATATATAATATGCGTATATTACATATATATATATATATTTATTTAGGAATAATAATTTATAATTCAATGAAATTGCCTGTTAAATATTCAATTAAACTTATTCAAAAAAAGAAAAAAGTAAAATATAATTTGTATCACACAATTGTTTTTATAACTATTATGAAACATAAATTACATATTTTGTTAAATTATTATTAAGTATCTTAAATTGKAATTTATGTATGAACAAATATAACATACTTTAACATTGGTCTAATAGAAAAAATTTTAAATTACAAATGGCTTTATGAAAGGTAATATAAAAACATTTTCTTAAACATAAACTGTAAATTTTAATCATAGCAATGACAATTGTTCTCGAAGATCGTCTACGTTTAATTCTGTTTCTTTCACTAAGGCTTCATCATTTGGAGCTGTTTGATCAGCAGATGGATAAGCAAATTCTATTCCATCATTTAGCGATAGGTATTCTTCATCACTCTTTATACTTACATTTTGATTTGCATTTACAGTTTTTATTGATTCACCGGGTTCTAATGTATTATTGGATGCTGTTGTTTCATCTTCTGCTAACGTTATCCCTGAAATATTTATTTTAAATATTAAGAACCAAATTGTAATAAGTTGAGAATAACATGTTCTATAATGCAATTTAATACTAACCCCATTCATTACTATCGTGAGTAACAATATCTTCATCTAYATTYGTGCATTCAGGTTCCTCTTTCACCCTATTTTTAAATTCTGATTGTTGTTTTAAACAGAAATTATCACTACAATTTGGGTTTGGTTTAATCATCATGCTAGGAAAGAAATCAGTCAAAGCATTATATCCTAAGTACCACGAAACTGTTCCAAAACCCAACAATTTCCTAAAAAATACATCCTCTCATTAATATTTCACATTAACCAATTTGATAGAAAATAGTAAAATTTACTTTAATGCATTTTGAACGAGCAATCCTGCGACAACACCCATTGTCGTTGGTAAGCTTGCTGCACAGACTCCATCCTTTTTTAATGTCTTTTCGTCTATGTCTGAAGCTACAACCAATGGAGGTGCACACTAAAAATCATGGTAAAACAATACAGTAAATTAATAATAAAAAGTTTCACTCTGAAGTTTATGTCAAATATATTACTGCAAAGCAAGCAGATTCTCCTGGCACAATATACTGAATGTGTCCACATACAGCATTTTCACTAACACCCGATTCAAACCAGTTTWGTCCTAATTCGTTACATGCAGTATTAATTGTCATTCGGGCTTCATAATTGTCTACGCAGCTCAATACCAAATCAACTCTATCACCATTAATTCCTCCAGTCCTAATCAAAGACAAAATAAGTATTAATCAATTTTTTATGTCATAAATAAACAATAATTGAATCATACTTTAAGACGTTCAAGAACTCTTCAAAATGGGTGGTTAGTGTGATGTTTGTATTGTACGTTTCAATCTTAACGTCTGGATTAATTTTTGACAATGTCATAGATGCTGCAGTAACCTTGCTTAGACCCGCTTGAGACGGTTGGTAAAATAGGCGGTTCATATTGGCTAGTTCAACTTTGTCATAGTCGAACAGTACTAACTGAAAACATTATACTTGTCAAACAAATTCTAAAGTGAATGTCCACAATATTATTTTTCATTCTTAGACCAACGTACAACATAGTCAATTTGTGTTAAAATGTATTGTTAGCTTCAACATTAAGGAATTGGCCTAAAATCAAACTCAACATAAGAAAATTTATCCATGTTTATACAACATCTTTTTTCACAAGGTTTTTTACTTCCCATACATGTTAGGAATATAATATATCATATATGAAAATATGAAAAAGTAAAACACAAAATTGATTTTGAAAAAAATAAATTTGGTAAGTGCTAATGATGTATGTAGATTGGAGAGAAAAAACATGTTGTACTTTTTTTTTTAAACCTATCGAATGTTACCTTTCCTATACCGCAACGGGTGAGCATTTCAGCGGTGACACTGCCGACTCCACCTACACCAACCACGACCACGGTGTATTTTCTGATGTCCTCGTAGTTCTTTACGATGCCCATTCGTTGCAGAGCCATTAACCGGCTGAAAGAGTCGTACCATAATATATATATTAATAATCACATCTGGATATATACGTCAGACGCCCGCACTCACCTGTACGGGTTCGAATCGACAACTTCCGCGGACATCTCGCGGATCTTGTGCTCAGMCGTCACTTGTGCGGCCGGCGCTTCGGTCAGCTCCAACAGAGTCTTCTTGAAGTTCTCGATGCGCTTTTTGATGTTTTCCACATCTTCCAGAGACATTTTGCACGACTGTCAAGAACCGCAAACGAGTAAAAAAAAAAAAAATGAAATTCGACTGATGTAAGTGAAACGTTGTCTGCGAAGGCGTTACAGAGCGTAAATTKGTAAACTGCTAAACAACGAACGTAAAAGTAAAAGTTGTACTACATCGGCGTTCACTACTACACACCTTCCGTGATCAAACTATATATTAAAAAAGTATCGAGCAGAACATTACGCGTGTCACAAATAACGAAATAACTACCGCAGTGCCGCGTCGAGCTGATAAGACGTAACGGACACGACGATTGCGATAATAATAATATTTATGTACAAAACCTTTGGGCATTATAGACTTGGAGAACCCGATAACGTTTACCTTGATTCGGTGGTTTGAACCATAGACATATAAAGTCTATGGTTTGAACATTTCGTTTTCAGACTTTCAGTGGATCTCAAATTGTTTGCGAAAAACAAGTACTGGAATACAACTTACTTACTTGTAAMAAACTTTTCGGGTATCAACGCCATCTAACGATATTTTCTTAAATTATTCTTGCCTTCAAATATAATATTATGTCGTTTTTATCAGAATTCAAGACCGGTAAATTAAAATCACGGAAAATATTAATAAAAATAAAAAATAAAATGTTTCACGTGAATCCGGAATCGTTTATCATATCATTCATATCCATGTCCCATGGTCCATCGAAGCTTAAATGTTAAATGTATAAAAATATTTTTTAAATATTTGACTATTTGAGAAGACAGCTAATAATTTTCATTCTGGTTTTTATTGGAGAGATTTTTTCATTCTGGTTTTTATCTAAGTTTATTATTATTTGTAATATAACTTTTTGTTTTTGYTTATTTAACTTTCAGTAGGTATATACTACATCAACATCAACCACTGTGTTAATAAAATAATTAATTTGAAAAAGTGTATAWWATATTAAAAATTATAATATATTATTTGAAATATCAAAAATAAAGTATAATATTCTATTGACCTATTGTTATACAATCTCACAAATTGGTATGGGTGACGAGTGTTGACGGAATTGTACAGTCATATTATATAGTTTAGATTTACACCTAAACGTGTTAAAAATTTTCAGGTAACTTTTTTAAACTGCGCCCAAAGCCCCAAMCGGGTTCTCGCCGCTAATATCCAACTCGATTTATTGGTAATAGTCTTAAAAAAAGTTGGAATTCACTGCTTTAGAACCCTTCATAGGTAGTCCTTAAGACTTTAAAAATGGATGCTACGTTGCTACGGCTATAATAGTATTAAACTCGCACTTGCGATATTGTGTACGACGTACGTCAAAAAAATTTGCCGAAAACATAACGAAAACTGTTAACTACTGTATACAGGCGCGGATCCAGAAAAATTTAACATTGGGTGCTCGAAAAAAAAATTGTTACACCTTACTATTTATTTAAATATTACCATTTAATATTTGATTTATTAGTGCTAACTTTTTTTCCATAATAATTGTTATCGATGCTTTCCGCCGTCGACGCGTGTCGTTACATACGAGTAGACTTCGAAAACAATTAACAATAATAGTTATTATTGTCGTAYGTGACGGTGATAACGAAAAGCACCGATGTTATTATTATTTTTATTTTGAAAAATAACAAATAATTTAATTTATAACATAAATTTATTTTATTGGTGGCTAGATGACAGGGGGTGCCGAGCACCCATAGCCCCCCCCCCTGAATCCGCGCCAGACTGTATAGTCAAATTATAGTGTAAGTAACTAACCTCTCTTTTTGTAAGAGAATTATCAAAATCCCAGAAAGCATAGGGAAGATCCCGAAGAAGTTTATGTGTCATGTGTATACTGTAGTTTTTTTATTGCTAGCACTATTGCACTAACCAATAATACTTTTATCAACTAAATAAAAAAAAAAACAATGTTTGAGAACTTATAACTTTATTTGTATATTTATAAAAAGATCTAATTTTGATATTTATTATTTGTGTATTTATATTATACACATATAAAAAAAAATGCTGCATCTCAGATCATGTTATTATATTGTTCTGTGGTTATACCCTGCTATGCGTACGCTTATGAATAAATTGTGAGCAATATTATTATTTATTATATATTAGATTCTAACTACTAATTAATAAACACAAATCATTTGTTGGCATATTATTATATTAATATACATAATTAAGTTAGTATATAGCTTGCTACATAATATTATTAAAATAATAAAATTGATTTAAATTTAAGATGGAATTAATTATATACATCGTGAAACCGGTAATTTTATTCCTTTCTACGGACACACTTGCTTTCTGGTGATAACAAGTCCAAACAATCGGCTTTTTGTCCCGAACGTCAATTAATATTTGATATGCTTATGTTTTCCCGGATCCGCATTCTGAATTGAAGAATTATATTTATTATTTACCATAATAATAAATATTTAGTTTTTCATTTCACGTTAAAAATCACAATATATATCTAGTCTTGTATTTGTCATCAGCACGATTTACTAGTTACAACTGGATGTTATCGTTTGTATATTAATTTACATTTAAAAGTTAAAACAGTCCATTGATCAATATGGGAAAATCTAAAAGTGCGTTTTACACTAAATTTACTTAGTGAATTTTATGTAATCAAATCAATAATCGTAATGTTAATATCAATTGTTTTATTWAATATTTGACGTCATTTTTAGAGAAACATTCGAAAAAAAGCAAAAAAGAAAAAACTGTCGAAAGTGGAGGCATTAAAAAATCAAAACAAGTATTGGCAGATTATGATCCTACTGGTCCTGTAATGCTTTCAGGATCATTATATTCTTTTCGTGATCTAAAACCAATGTCGATTCCTGAAAAAGATCTTGTTAGTAGTATACAAATATTATACCTTACAACACCTATAAGCGCCTCATATACGATCCGATTAGTTCTGTCTTACTTAAAATTGAAATAATGCACAAACACTTGTTTAATTATTTAACAACAGATAGTATTGTAAGCCATATATGGTTGATTATTTCATGCTGTGCCTTCAACTGAATAATTCTTCAGTATCTTACCAATTTTCACAGAATTTACTTGAATTCTTAAGACGGTTAAAGAAAAACAAATTGTGTATGTAACGCTTCAACTTAAACATTTTTTTTTTGTGTCCGCGTAATTCTAAGAAATATTCATTATTATTTTGTTTACCTACATTTAATTTGAATGATTGTTCATATTTAGCTTGGACGTTGTCGATTTGTTGCTGAGTTTGAAAAATTGAATCGCATTGGTGAAGGAACATATGGTGTTGTATGTAAGTTAAATTTATTATTTTATCATTTTCATAATTTTTTTAGTTTTTGATTTGGTCTTTGTATACTAACCATAAGTTGGCTGACTGTTAAAGTAACAGAAAATTGTACATTGTATTTTGTTAGTTGATTTTATTTTWTTTTTCTCATAAGATCGTGCAAAGGATTCTAAATCACCCGTGGAAAAAATTGTTGCATTGAAAAAAGTTCGTATGGAAAATGAAAAGGAAGGATTACCGATGAGTGCACTTCGTGAGATATCATTATTATTGAAATGTGATCATGAGAATATTGTTCGCCTACAAGAAGTTTTAGTGGGCAGAAGTTTAGACAGGTAAATATTTTAACTAAACAYGATTGTATTACTTATATTGTATTTTTCATTAAATTCCGTGTTTTTGTACTATGATAACAATTGGAGAATGTACAACTCTTWATTGTGAACAAATTACTAAGATTCTAAAAATGATTYAATAACTATTAATCTTATACAATGAAATAATCTGTTCTTAGAATAAATTTTACATTATACCTAAGAACATTTTTATTAAAATTTAAACAAACATGGTTATAATATACGATTCCATTTAATTTAAAATTTCTGATATTGATATTGGTAATTTCATTGAGTTCTGTTGAATATAATAATAAATCAAATTGGGTCGTTGATACAGTTTTTAAATTATTTATTATATTCAGAATGTAATAGAAAAACCTGATAAAATGAAATAATTTTTATTTTTGCCATTATTTATTTATTTTTTATATATTGCCTTGTGCTATACGTATAATATAATATGTTATTTTTTAATTCTGAAAATAAATGAAAAAAAAAACCAATTTGTCTTACTGGTTTTTGGAAAAATTGTGATTGTAAAATTCAAAAAGTATAAATTTTTTATAAGATATTTTATGATTATTTTAAAAACTTAATCAACTTTATTTAGCAAAAATTAACTACTTGACAATTTTTTACAATCAAGATTTTTTCAAAAACCATATTTACATATTACCTACTTAGAATTGTTTTGAAAATAATGTACTTCAAAAATAAATTTTTTATCTTAGTATTAATAAATAATTTGTTTTTTGTTATACTCTGTATTCTCAGATGAAATAATCTTACAAATGTTTAGTCTTAATATTATATCTGTAGTATTATATTTTGATTTTAATTATAATATATTTTCATGACATTATTTTTTTTAGTATATTTCTGTCTATGGAGTACTGCGAACACGATTTATCCAGCTTATTAGATAACATGGCTACTGCGTTTACTGAGTCTCAAGTAAAATGTATATTTTTACAGCTCTTGAAAGGACTTAAGTATTTGCATTCAAATTTCATTATTCATCGTGATCTCAAGGTATCTAATTTGTTGATAACTGACAAAGGATGTGTAAAAATAGGTAAATATAAATTAATTKWATATAATGTATTCATTAAATTTKGGAGTTAATATTTTTTTGTATTTAGCTGATTTTGGATTGGCTCGTTTTTTTGGTGTGCCACCAAAAAAAATGACCGCTAAAGTGGTAACACTTTGGTACAGAGCTCCTGAAGTATTATTGGGATCTCCTAAGTTGACAACAGCTATTGATATGTGGGCCACTGGATGTATTTTTGCTGAACTTTTGCGTATGTTATTTATTTTATTGTTTCAGAACAGTTAATAATTATTTATATGTTTAATAATTTAGTTCACAAGCCATTATTACCTGGTCGTACAGAGATACATCAACTTGATTTGATATGTCAACTTCTTGGCACTCCTAATGCTTCAATATGGCCAGAAATCGACTCATTACCAGCACTGAAAAATTTCACATTGAGACCACAACCATACAATAATATTAGGCCAAAGTACTTAACACTTCAAAATATAYATSCTTAAAAATATWTTTTTTAAATGTATTAATATTCTAAAAAATATATACATTTTTTTACTTAGATTTCCATGGTTGTCAGACGCTGGGATTCGTCTTTTGAACTTTTTATTTATGTATGAACCGAGCAGAAGAGCAACAGCTGAAGAATGTCTACAAAGTTCTTATTTTGTTGAACCTCCACTGCGTAATTATTTTACATAACATATTTTTYATAATTTATCACGTATTAAATGTAATCTAACATTTTCATTTTTAGCATCTGATCCTAAGTTGATGCCTACTTTTCCACAACATCGTAATTTAAAACTTAAAAAACCATCAAATCAACCAAAAGTTTGTCAAACTATTCCCCCAGTTGTACCATCCTTAACGGACTTATTAAGGTGACTATTGGCATATAAGACTACTAATCATGACTGTAGTTTGTATTATTAATAAATAATAAAAAAATGTTTTTTATTTTTTACAGCTGGAAGTAAAAGAACATTTTTTGCAACTTATTATAATTTTAATCCTTGATATTATACAATTTTTATTCAAAAAATCATCAAAAAACAATTTTATATTGTATATTCTATACTAAAAATAAACATAATTAAATCAGACTATAAATATTCTCTGTCTACAAGTTTTTGATGAGCGAACTGTCTTTTCCATTTTTTGGGAGGTACCCAACGGTGTTTAGTGGTGTACGTCATTTTCATAAGTTCTTGCTGCACTATTTCATTATTGGGCTTACTGAATACTTCGTGCACAAAGTCTTTGTTTTGAACTCTCAACACTGAGTTGTCCTGCACCTTGTTAACTGGTAGTGGTTTGGTACACTCGTATGGGAAAGAACTCTCCGGATGGTAACACACTATGGTAGATGCGTCATCAGTGACAACAATGGCACGTTCGTTCTTGCTGAAGCGTGACACGCTGCTGGCTAATCGTCTGGAAAATCGCAAACCGTTCATGTCCCGGCGTTATGTTAGAAACTAGAAATTCAAACAAAGTATTTCAAAAATAAAATATTAATAGTGCAGTTATCACTTAGTAGCGGCCAGTGATAACTCAGCAGTCAGCACGAAATAGAAAAATTTAACGTTTACAAAACTAAATTAATGCCTATGCTGGTGCTGAACGTAAAGGTAAAGCTCCAAAATTATAAAATGCAAAACTTAATAATGTCCATTGTCCAATAGCCAATAATGAGCAAAACGTTATCAGAAAAAAATTTTATCACATTTCTAAAATACAATTACTTGGTTACCTGTTAACCTAAAAAAAAATTAAATTTCAATTTATTATTTTTTTTGAGAGACGGATGGTAAATTACTCAATGAACTATAAATTATGATCGAGACTCGATAGAGAAAGCTTTAGAGACTATTGAGAGAATAGATCCTTGACAAATTCGATTGAGAAAAATATAATTTCGTATTTGCCGATCGATAGTTTGATTCGCCAACACCAAACAATTTTCTTTTCCATGGTTGAAYCGCCACCAGCCCCCGCAAATGTTTGTTAAACAGAGTTGTTGTCGTTTTCGCGGCGCGCATTCGTCCCGCGTCCTTCCCTCCTTGGTCCACCATCCGACCGTCGTTAACGCTTGATAATGCGACGTGCGGATTTTTAAAATTTAAAATTTTTGTCTCGCTTTTCCGTCGTCTCGTTCGATTCTTCGCCGTGTCCGTTGTTGTTTCCCGAACGTACTCGCCTCAAGATGCAGAGGAGCGGTGAGTAAAGCGTCCACGAATCGGTTGCGTCGGGCAATCCGTTGTTTTTTGCGCACGAAAACGACGCGACGACCGCGCGAAACGGCCGTCGTCATCGCTGCCGCCGAGAACGGAATCGCTGCGATGTCGGTCGGCTGCGTTTCGGCGAACAGTGTTCAGTGTACGCTGTATTTGTATTGTCGGTGACTACGCTTATTGCGCGCGACATTGCTTCAGTATTACACGTCTGTGTCGTCCGTGCGTTTTCGTCGCGCGAAAGCCGGAATCCCCGTCGTGCATTATCGCTTGTTCCCCWTAATTAGTAATTACAATAATTTACTGTCGGAGTGGTCGCTGCAGCTGTTGTGGTGGTTGTTGTTGTTATAGTTGTCTATATTGTTAATACTTCCTTATTAGTAATTAGTAATTACCCATTA